AATAGATCGATACCGCGTTTTTAAAAATCAATTTGTCATATAGACATAGCCTATATGACAGATTTTGAAGCAGACTTGTGCAAAATGATCAATGTATCTATCATGGTTTTAGGTCAGTTTAAGTTTTATCTTTAAGGTTTCATTGGTTTCATTTCCATTTTGTGTTTTTCTAGTTATTTTTGATTGTATTTGAGTTCTTAGTTATTTCTTGTTTGCCCTCTGTTGCCCCAGTCTCCTTTCCCTTCCTCTTTTCCAGAATCCTCTGTTCACACCTGCTACCAATCTCCTGATTAGCCTGGTCTTTGTTTCTCTCTCCCATTTATGGACCTCCTGCTCAGTCGCTGTTGCTAGTTTGGTGTTGTTTCTTTGCCCACTTGTTGTAAAAATATTCCTGGTTCTCAGTTTTAGTGGATTTTGTGGATTTCTGTTTTTGATTTTTGCTTCTGTTACCCTTTTTGTTGTTAAATCTGCAAGTAACCACCTTCAGCTTCAGTGTCTGCATTTGGGTCCTGTCAAACCTGCACCCAAATTGACAGCATAAAGATGGTCAATACAGGATTCCTGATAAACATTATTGCTCAAGTTAAATTGGTGCAAAGCTTCATCATTCACATGGACTAAAAGAGCTCCACACTCTTTCTCAACACAATATTATAGCTTTAGAAGACATGTTGGTGGCTTTTTTAGTCAAACAAATGAAAATTGTATGACAATTATTGATGACAATTGGACTGAAAATAAAATATTTTTAAAGTTAAAGTGATGAGTAATTTCAGTAATTTATTTTGCTTTTTTTTTAACCTAATTTCCCAAAACGTTTGCATGATATCCGTTTTACAATCAAAAAAGGCTTCTAAAATATATAGTAATTCGTTTAATTTAAAAATTAAAAAATATAATAAAACCACATATTTACAAGGTGACATCAGCACCAAGTCAGGTGCTCTACATTACATATATTAAGATAAGTGCTTTTTGTCGCATTAAATTATTGATTACAAAACAGCTCACATTGGAAGGCAATTGGACTTTTGCTCAGTTTCTTTGTAAACATTTTCCCTTCCAATTTAAGCCTGTTTTGTGGCTGTGAATTTACACAATATAATAAATTTATTTATTAGATCAACAGCAAAAATCTGCATTGTGTTGTATTATACCTGCAGTGCTGTTTGTAGCAACAGCATAAAAGGGATCATCACACTTATAAAGCAAAGGGTTGCAACATTACGAATAAAAAATATAATTCCTGGCTACAATGCAGCTAAAAAAAATGTATCACTGTCATTGCAGCACAGGTCCAGTTGAATGCTAACTGACATACTGTAGCATCAGGTGCAGACAGCAGGTGAAGGCGATTGGTGGAGACTTGGCTTACATCTTCTCTCTGCAAAACATGAACTAATAGGACCACCAAGGCAAGTGAGTGTGAAAAACGGTGAAAAAGACTGCATATCTCCAGCTGTTAGTGGGTGAGAGGCGGGTACATACTGGACAGGTCGCCAGTCTATCGCAGGGTGACACCAAGACAAACAGGAAAAACTCATACACACACTCACACCTAAGGAGAATTTAGAGAAGCCAATTTACCTAACAGTCATGTTTTGGACTGCGGGAGGAAGCCTGAGTACCCAGAGAGAATCCATGCATGCACAGGGAGAACATGCGAACTCCATGCTGAAAGACCGCAGGCTGGGAATCAAACTCAGAACCTTCTAGCTGCAAGGCAGCAGTGCTACCCACTGTGCAGCCTATGAACCATTTATTTCCAATTTATGTGAGACTGCATTGCACTTTTCAGTTCTGTTCTAGTGTCCCACATGTTGAAATAATGCCCGCATTAGACTAAAATCAAACTATGAAAATGTATTTAAAAAAAAAAAAAAAAAGGCATACATATACATACACATATACACAAAAGCTGTCAAATTACAAAGCAACACCCCACGCCATGACCAACCTGCACATGATGGACTTGAAAGTAAAACTTAACGGGTACAGGATATTAGTAAATACTGACAAATAAAATACAATTGAAGCAAAGTTTAAAGAAAAACAATGGAGTCACAACAAAGACAGTAAAATTATTTTTAATTGGGTAAAGCAGGAAATGATGATTCTCAAGAAAGCTTTTTCATTATTTTTCCAATTTTATACAAAGGGGAGTTCAAAAATCCACATGAATCCTAAATTGTCCCTCAGCAGCCTCCATATTGTTCAACATTTGTTTTTTCATCTCAAAGAGGAGAACTATTTTACTTTATCTGTCTCCTGAGTTCATGGGTAAACTACACTGTTTATCAGAGATTTCCCCTTTCGGTACTTATACCCGCAATTGGTCCGATGTCAACCAAAAAGTGAATATTGGAATGTATCGGCCTGCATCTAAACTCTCCAATATAAGCATACTGACTGGAACACTCAGCTTCTTCTTGTTCTCTGTTTGAGTTCATGCCAATATTACAGTCAATATTCAAAATCGCAATATTAATATCGTATCGGAAAAAAAGCCGTGTATAAGGAATCACTACTGTTTATTTAAAAGGTTTTATTCATTGTTTATGTCCATGTCACCCCACCTTCTACCTATTCACTGTATGTTTCCAAACAGGGTGAACCTGGCAGGATTACTTTGCAATTCAGGGATTTTAGTTTGCATTTTCCCCCCCAAGCGGATATGTTTTTCTCTGCCACTGATTAACCCTTCTTGTCAGACTCGTCACATTGCTGCGTAGGTCTGGTCAAACCAGACAAGAGGTCTACTTGTGACAGACCAATGTAATAACAGCTGCAGAGATGATGATGGTGATGATCAGTGGTCTGATTATTCTCAATGGGATTTAAGTGCAATGATCTCATAAGATTCCATTGCCTGTCAGATCGGACGCTAAATCCCGTCCAGTGTGTTTAGGACTGAAGTAACTAATCAAAAGAAGGATGCTGAGGCTTCTTAGATATTAATATCTGTTTTTGGAAACCCTGTAACATGATATGCTCTGGAACTGGGAAGAAAACATGGCCTACATGCTGCACAGAAGTAGTTCCTAAACTGCACTTCTATGTTTGAAGGAAATGAACTTGACCGAGACATTGCTGACATAGAGGAAAAATTGTTTATAGAATGTTACCTTTATAAAGGGTGAAAAAGAGAAGATTTTTTTTTTTTTTTTTAAGCGTACTTATTGCTCCTTAAATGTGCAATAAGTTAAGCAGAAAAGAATATCAAAAAATCTTAGCCAGAAATAGTACCTGGACTCAATCTCCCTGGATGAGAGGATAAACCATATTAACCAGTTTGAGTTTTAAGGATCACAAAGATTCCTAGAACATCATTAATTTTTTGGGTTTTTCTTATGTTTATTAAATCACTAAACTAATATACCTTTAAATAAAGTCAATACTTTTCTGCTTTTCTGGGCATCAGATATTATCTCTTCTCTGCAAGTGTACAAACACGCCTCAAAAGACTCTTTCTCCCATCAGCCCAAATTACAGACTAAACAACCATTTAATAGGGCGACGGTGGCGTTGGATGTAGGAGTTTGCCCTGAAATCGAAGGCTTGACGGTTCAAGCCCCGACTCCGACTTTCAGTTTTGTTGTGTCCTTGGGCAAGACACTTCACCTGCATTGTCTACTGATGATGGTCAGAGGGCCCGGTGGCGCCAGTGTACGACAGCCCCGCTTCTGTCAGTGAGCCCCAGGGCAGCTGTGGCTACAATGTAGCTCACCACTATCAGTGTGTGAGTGTGTGCGTGAATGAATGTAGTGTAAAGCGCATTGGTCAAGTCTCCTGACTTGAATAAAGGCCCTATATAAGTACATGCCATTTACCATTTACCATCAGATATTTGAGAGATTTTATTATGACTTTGGAAGAATACAAAACAACCTACAAAAAGCATTTACCAAATTTTATTTTTGAAATTCATTCACTCAAATTTCATTTAACAGAATTAGATTGCTGGTAGGCTGGATAAAGAGCAGAGCCAGTAGTTAAGAAAAGAACTCCTCAGGGTTTAACAGACAGATCAATGGTACTTCGTATTAGGTTTCCTTCCCAAAATAGGGTATGAAAATGCACATTTATTGTGTTTGCATCATCTCTGATTGTCATCTCCAGCAAAATCGTCTACACAATATTATCTTTTAATTAGCTTGGAACCACAGAACCGGCCCAGTACCCTTCCATTTACCAAGGAGATAACAAGAGAAGCAATCAGGCGAACGAGTCAAAGCGCTGCTGTTAATTACCCAAAAGCAAATAATGAGACAGAGCCTCTTATTAGCTTTCACAATCCAAAGCTTCCCCACACTTCACTGATTCGCCAGGTCCCAGTGGCCAACTAAAAGATTTGCTTTTTAAACAGAGAAGAGGAAGCTTATGGCTTAACAGTATGTTTAAGCACCTGCAGTAAACTACTCAGGCTGCATGTGCTCGTGTTGGTGGGGACGAAAGTAATCATGTCCTTGTCTGAGGACTTGCTAGCCAAACAAGTTGGGAGGTAAATCAAAAGGGCAAGCATGGCATCTGCTGTGTTTCTGGTAAAATAAACAATAATGAATAAACATTTGGATTTTTTAAGGCTTTACTGTTTTATTAGATGGGTTTAAATCTTACAATATTTCATGCCAGCTATCTACACAGAAGCCAGCTGCTGAGTAAAATGAATAGGACTTTCAGCATGCTTGGCCCTGAGCATTAGACACAGCTATGCATGTGCTTCCATGTTGTGCTTCTGACAACAAGTGTAGATGCCATTACTGAGGGGAAAAGAGGCCCATGTAGTAGGGATGGGCAAACAATTGATAAAATTGATTAATCGAAGTTTTATTTATAAGGCTGAATTTTTGGGATTCAATTTTTATTCTTGGACGTGCATTTTATAACTGATCAACAAGCCACCATGTAACACCACAAGCTGCAAACATTTAGCGTATAATGTTTTCATTGTCGCAAAGCATGATTGCTTTACAGCATTATTACAGTTTTAATTTTCTTGACCTTCAAATTAAGGTCACCTACCAGTTGTTAAAATGGAAAAAAAACAACCCAGCTGAAATCACTAGAAACCGAAGTGGCAAAAGTTAACAAAGTAGGTAAGATATCATCAATAAAAATCTGATTAGTGAATTTCTCTCATGTATACTTTTTTATTGTTTTGTGTTCCAGTTTTTCACTTTAAAACACTATGAATCATCTAAGTCTGCTCAACATAAAGAAATGTTAATAACTGATTAATTTTCAGGCAAGAGGCCAATTTAAATGCCATTTCATAGATGTTTTTTTTTAATCTGTTTTCATACTGTTAAAGAAACAAGGGATGCTTTACACACATTTCCAATCCGCTCTGTGAACCCCTTCATCACATTACTTCCACTACAAGCTGAAATTCATACCAATGTAGCTTGCCCAGGGAACACTGGTCAAGTTTAGAATTAACACCACCTGGACCGTTTCAGCCCCCTGACACCAATTCTAAAATAAGTCAATAAACCTCACTTGACCTTAATAACGGCAAAAAAATATCTGGTAGAAAAATGGCTGACAGCTTCATAGCCAGAGGCCTCCACTGAGACTCCATAAGATGAGCTGATCTGCCCAGGTTAGCGCTTTAAATATTTAACAGTGGCTAAATGCATTGGCACTGCTACATGAAACAAAACATGTGTGCAGGAGATTTAGATTAAAGAATCATTGACAACGAAACTAACCACTAAAATACCATGAGGAAAAACTAGTATTTGGAAAACTAGGAACTTTTTAATATCTTAAAATAAAGAGCTAATCTGACTTATGTTGTGATTTACTCTCTTATAAGTAACATAGAGCTCTCACAAAGCAAATTAAAATAAATGAAATTGATAAAAAGCAAGTTTGACAGTATTTTACAGTTTTGCTCAAACTGTATGAAATAATCAGGATGCAAAAAGGGAACGAAGTTAAGGATAAATGTTTTTTTAATCTTGTTTTGTTTTTTTCCGACCCCAGTTGCAACACCACACAGCTCCACTCTGCTTGACCTCCCTCTATTGTTGTGATTCTGATGCTTTAGACCGCTGGCTACAGGAACAGCTTTGTTTCTCTTGCTGTTTGTGTTTTACATCAACACAATTACTTATTTATGTTTTCATGGGACAAACCTTAATATTTATGTTTTATCAACTTATTTATCTAAAATTACTTCACGGGCTGCTCAGTGGAGCAGTGAGTAGTATGGCTGACTTGCAACAAGAAGGTTCTGGGTTCGATCCCGGCCCGGGGTCTTTCTGCATGGAGTTGACATGTTCTCCCTGAACATGTGTGGGTTCTCTCCAGGTACTCCGGCTTCCTCCCACAATCTAAAAACATGACTGTTAGGTTAATTTGCTTCTCTAAATTCTCTGTAGGCGAGTGTGTGTGTGAATGGTTTTTTGTCCTGTTTGTCTCTGTGTTGCCTTGCAACAGACTGGCAACCGGTCCAGGGTGTACCCCACCTCTCGCCCATTGACAGCTGGAGATAGCACCCCTCACGACCTCGCTTGGGATAAGAGTGCCTGAAAATGGGTACTTTATTCACCCTGAACCTAAACCTTCACAGACTGCTGGATCTGTGGCTTCAAACCCAAAGCCTAGTTTCATGTGTTGCGCTTCATAAACATGGAAAAAAAAAAATCACTTGTCAATCACATCTGACAAGTGTTAAGGAGGATGGTTCCATAGATACGTTTCAGAAGAGTAATGAGATTAAGCATTCTACCTTACCCCTGCCATATTGAGTACCGTACGCTTAACTCTGTAGCACCTCCATTCTGACCAGAATGGATTATTCTCAGTTAAATCCCTGTGAGCTTAAATAGCACACAAAGAAAATCGTTGTTATTGGAAACAATCCATACAAAGTCCCCACAGGCTTTTTGTCAACACCTTTCTTAAACTGACAGGCTTCCAGGTTTTTCCTTTCAAGACTGATGCATATATCTTGTTTTATCTATTTTTGATACATATATCTAGTACACAACACATCCTAATTTAATGGAGAAAGCCTGAGAGCTTTTAAAACCACAGATGCTTATTTCACAGCAGGCTGGGATATTGACCCAAAATGCGACATCAAAAAACATGAGAAGTATTAAAAGCGAAGGTTAAAATAAAGCAAGGTTCTTTATGCTTACTCTATGTATACAGCTTAACACAAGCATAATGTTTTCAGATCTTAATATTAAGAGTAGCTCTTTCACAAGTTGACTAATCAGTGTTATCTAATCATTTCATTGTCCTGAGAAAGACATTAAATCCAGTTGGCAACAGCGTACACCTTCTGAAGCTCAACTGATATGAAATGTACAGACGGCTACTCACCCGAAGGCCAAGCATATGGATGGAATCTTTTACACAGGGGACCAGATTAGGTATTCAAAATGGCCGCGGCTATGGTCGGACATTTGACAGGGCATCTCTATGTTGCTTAAATTAACAACAATCCCATTACAGATTGCTCTGATGCAAGCAAAGACACCAATCCAGATTTGAAAAGGTCTTCAGAAAAACTGAGTGAAAGTCAGGTTGCCTCTTATCTAAGCCCGTTTTCTGGTTACCATGACCCAGATGACTGATTTCTCTTTTTTTACCAGGCAAATAATATACAAACCAAACAAATTATGCAAACCCAAATTTAAAGTAGGTATATCAGCAAACATTAGAACACAAGCATATAGATAAAACTTGTAATGCTCTGTAGATCTGAATAGCTTAAGCAAACCAACCTGTCGCAGTTTGAGGTAAAAGGTTTCGCTGAAGGTCTTTCGGCTGAAGTACCAGAAGCGCTCGTTTGATGGATAAACCCTGACGAGGGTCTCCAACAGGAAGCGAACAGGTTCCACCACTTCTGTCACCACCAGGTCCACCGCCACGGTCATGTAGATTTGCTTATCTTTAGACAGGAATAAATATACAGATTCAGTCTTTTTTTGTACAGTGACATGTTTGGTCACACGTACGTTTGGTCTGTGTAATATTTGTAAATACAATTTTTTTAACAGCTTACCTGTTGATTTGTTAGAAAATCAGACATTATTCTTTTAAGATATATATTATAATAGAACAATATATACATGTTAAACCATCTGCACCTCTTAGAAAGAAAATGTTACATTAACTAAAATAAATTTGTTAGAAAACTAATAATTAACAAATAAACATAGCTTGTTAATAATCTGAGCAAAAACTTGTTAGATTGCAACAATCTCAATGGCTTCAGATAAATAGCAAATAATGAATTAAGTAACTGTATCCAGCGGAGATGTCGCCCCACAACTGAATAAGAAGATCACCCTATTTACCTGCTGGTCAAAATGAGCTGTTAACCAGTTTTCAGATAATTTAGTTTACCGAACAAGAATCTCATCAGCAAAAATGACCACTAATATTCCCTTCAAAATGTCTTTTTAAATCAAATTAACAGCTGTATTATAAGAAAAGATTTAAATCTTTGATGAAGTTTAATGAATGCATTTCTGTTTAGGGAACAAAATCACATAAAGAAATTATAAAAACGGCGCAAAATGAATGTTCCTGACGGACCAATCCGTTGAGACTAAGGAACAAGAAAACATCACTGTACATAATCATGGAAAAATAGTGGAAAAAGGAAGGCTGCTGCCAGGCCATGGTAATCTGATCAATAACTGATCCTCATCTGTGTCGGCAAAAGCAGATTTTAAGTTATTTGCTTGTGTGGAGCATCTGTGTAAGTGTTAATAAAACACTGAAAAGGAAAGTCATCAGCAAAGACAAGGTGATAAGCAGTTGTTGCATCCCATAAATCTGAAAATGCATATACTGCCATCTCTAAACAAAGTGTAGTTCACCAATCTACAATAGGATCAACAGAAAAAAATATTCAATAACATGTGGCGTTCACCAAGGCTCCATCTAAGGGCCCCTCCTATTCAATATCTACATGCTCATGAATGTCGACTAGAAAGCAGAACTTTGTTCTGGAACCGTAAGGGTCACCGGATGAACCCCAGCTCTGCCCATCCACCAAACCTTTACCTACTGATGGGGATCAGAGAGTCCAGTGGGGTCCTTGGGTTGATAAAGAGCTAAACAACAATGTCAAAACGAAATTGAAGTAGTAATTTTTGGGCCAAAGGAAGAACATTCAAAGTTTAGCACATAATAATTTTAATTATGCAGCCAACAAAAAGTTTCCCCCCCTAGCATCAAACAGTGTAGATTTGTGACTGATGGTGTTAGTAAAACAGATTAGTTAATAGAGCAAGTTACACTATGGCCGCAGCATGAGTAGTTCTCCTGCAAAACAATCAAAGTGAGTTGCGCTGACACTGCTAATTACTCTTTCAATCAACTCTATACTTAATTCATAATGTTTCTACTGATTGGAGAACATTTCTCAGCGATCAAAACCTCTCGGTTTCTTAGAAGACCCCTTTAGATTAAATAGTATATGACCATTTGGACACAAACCTTTAGGTGTGTCTTCATTAAGTGGCTGGAAAGCTGCCATGTTGGGATTCCACGTTCCTGTGATGATGTAGGCCTTTCCATCCGAGCTCTTTCCCATCGATTCCTATAAGAGGAGTCATTTGATACATAATTTTTGCACTAAACAATAATGAATATTTCATCTTAAAAAGGTATAGTGGAGGATTTTCGTGATAAAAAAAAAAATGCACATGTGATAGTGAACGACTAATAAACGTGTGTCAGAGCATGCACAAGCCCATTTCTCCTCGTGAATGCTCTGTTAAAAAGTTGCTTACTTTTAACAATCTAGGTGAATTTGTAATAATACAATAACACAAAAACTGTCAGGTTGGATGGCTGATACGTTTAAATGTGTCCATTTGAACTCACTATTTCATCCACATAAAGGATCCTCTGGTTAATAAATCAATACATTTTCTAAAGGCAATTTACAAAAGCAGCCACCTACATTGACGTTTGTTATAATTAAGTACCTTAAGGCTACTAATAAAATGAGTCAAATTAAATCCAACTCACCATGTCAAGAAGATGCATGTCACTGTTGCAGACTTTCTGTCCAGGACTTAGCAGCATCCCAAAACACCTGAAAAGAAGACAGAGGAGACGCCACCCACAAATCAATACCCACTAATTCCAGGACAGAGCCACAGCCTGCCTTCATCAGTCAAGTTAGCTGAGAGAGAAAAGAAGGTAGAAAATTCCCTCAAGATGTGGATCCACTCTACGACACTTAGCTCCAGTTTTAGCTCCTACTTTACTGTCTGACTGTATCTATGCCAAAATACAATTAGTTATTTTGAATCAGGTTTTTTACAAACTTTAAATATCTCGTCATCATCAGAGCCAATAAAAACAGGCCTGGAGGGCTCTATAGCTATAGCCTTTAAACTAAGCTTAGCAGGATTTGGAGCTTCATGACACTAATAAAAAAATACCGTATTTTCTGGACTATATGCCGCTACACTGTCCCCAAACTTTGAACTACGCGGCTTATAAGAAGGTGCGGCTTTTCTGTGGAATTTTCCTAACTCCCAGAAGGGGAAGTCAAAGTTAGAAAGGAAAAAATAAGGGGCTAATTTTCATTTAGCACAAGAACATTCTAGCAGCAAGCAAGATGGAGAAGAAATTACCTGAAATCACACATTTTGACATTTATTTACTGCATTAAAGAGGCTAAACCAATGAAGAGACTGGGTTCAACTCCAGCGCTGAAATAAAGAGCTGATGAAGCCCCGTCTTTCAGTAGAGCAGGGGTCTTCAACGTTTTCCAGGCCAAGGACCCCCAAACTGATGGCGAGATGGAGCAGGGACCCCCTAATTACATATATTGTTTGAAATTGTGTTAAATCAAACTGGTCCTATAGTCACTCTTTTAAAGATGGAGTAATTTCAGCCTGGGATTATTAAAGTATTTCTGATTCCTGGTTGATGGGACAGGTGGTGTGAATGAAATGGTGCCCAGCTTGAGAGAGCTCCTGTGTGTCGCTAATGTGTGCATTGATGACTGAAAGACATCTTCTGCCTCCATTTATCTGTTTACTACAGTGTGTCGAATTCATGTCAATGTGGATTTAAAGAAATTTCAATTAGTGGAAAAAATTGCAGGGGGGAATATAAAAAAAAGACTAATCAACCAAAAGTTTCACGACCCCCATGCAGTAACTCCGTGGACCCCCTAGGGGTCACGGACCCCCTGTTGAAGACCTCTGCAGTAGACACTTCAGTCGATATCAGCGGCTTCCAACCTGGTGCGGCTTATATATGCAAGTTTCCAGGTTTTTCAAAATACTTTGTGGGTGCAGCTTATAAGGTGTGCGCTATACTCAGGAAAATATGGTAGGTCAGCGCGTTAAACTCTTCTGATAATTACCACAATGGTTTTAAACTAAAAGACTACTCTCTACAATAAAAAAACGTATTCATTCAAAACTTCAAGAACTAATTTAGGAAAATTAATAACAAATTAGATATAGTTGGAAAATTACTCATAAAAAATTTAATTTTTAATGGAGGCACAATATTGAATAAATACAGTTTCTCCCCTAGCATTATATTGATGCAAAACTTTCATCTGCAGTTCTGTTTAAAAGTCCTAGAAGATCTGACTACAACCAGCAGGATGCAAATCAAGCTCCCACTACTGTTTGCATTTCCTAAGAATTGGGAAATTAAGGTGCATTATCAGCAAAAAGCATACAATGTCAACTTTACCAAAAAAAAATATTAAAATTAGAATGACTTTAGAATAGACTATATGACAAAGTTTAAATAAAGTTGTAACAACGGAAACACAGCGTGGTTACTCTGTTTAAATTACGTGTGCAACATAGTGGATTAACTAAAAACATACATTAGATTCACCTGAGATAAATAACCAACTACACACAGAAAAGGTCCTTTGGAAGTAAACATATACCCAAATACAATTAAACTCCAAGATTTCATGTATCAGGATATAAGATGCATGAAAAATCTGCTCTTTAGCAAGGTCTAACATGTTCTAATTAAAAAAGACGACACACCAAATCAAGGAAATAAAGGCCAAAATGAAAAAAACATGTTACAAAAAAAACTGATGATGTTTTCCATTTGAATGCGGGTCCTGTTCACATGACCCAGTTTCAAAAAGAGATGGCTTCATGTCTGGTTGTGGAATATTTTGGTGATGATGTGGTCGACTGTACAATCATAACCTCTCACAGACTGTGGCAGCAAAACAAGCCAAACTCACGGCAGCCATACTTTACAGTTGGTGCAACCTATTTCTGAGAATATGCTGCATTGATCATTTCTAATAGGCTTGTAGAGATCTTTTACTTGCTCTGATCTTGGGGTGAATTTGCCAGGGTGTCTGTGCTGTTCTACCTGTGGGAAACAACAATTTCTTCTCTGAGGTTTACTCTGTGGTCTGCCTGTTGTTTCGAATCCAGCCTGTAAAACCACCGCCAAGGTGGTTAAAGTGGCACCACCGTGAAACGCCACCGTCTAAGTCTCACCAACTGATTAAAAAACAAAATATATATATAGATATATAATCGTCTCTTAAGTGGAAAAGTCCTGGACAACTGATCATAAAATAATGTTTTCGAAATGAAATAAAAGTTTTCAAAGTCTGAAAAAAAACGCAAATGCAAACTAAAAGGAGAGTGTAGCTTTTTGTCTCAGTCTGGTAGCTACAGAGGTGTGAAAATGAGAAGGGGAAATGACCTAGTTTTTCCAGTGGTACTCAAGCATATAAACATTTAAACAGTGGGCTGCAGACATTTGGATGAGACTCATAAAAAGAGGTCTGCACTAGTGATCACTGTTCATAGAAAGCAGGTTTTTCTCAGCTTTTAATCCTGAATATTCTACCTTCCTTGTTTATTTTATGTCCCACAGGGAGAGAAGACACTTCTAACCTTTATATCAGTGACATTAAACCAATCATCCCAAAACTACCAATGATGAAAAGATAGGACCATAAACTTTTTGTGCGCCATTGCCTGGGTTAATGCTGCTTGTGCTCAAAGAGTAAATGGAGTGAAGTATAACACAGTAAAGGTACTTTAATGAGTTGCACCAAGCAGCATTATTCCAAGCTTTTAATGCAAAACAAAAGACCAGGCTGTAAAGCAGATGAAGAGTTTAAAGGTGCAGAGTTGTAGTCAGACAAGGGGAATGCTAGCCTGAAGATATTTTTATCCTGTTTATGAAAATGGGAAAATTGATCCGAACTGTTTACCCCAGAAGCCAGATTAAGACACTGAAGTCTTTAAGGCAAACCCATCACCATGTCAGCGTTAGCCAGGCTAGTTCAAAATAGTTTCTAGCTGCAGGGAGCCAGGGGTGGAGAAATATTTCCCCTGCTGTTGAAAGCTCGGAGTATTGTTTGGCAGTACTGTACATGCACCTCTTTAATGTCACAAAGGGGACTGAGACACACCTGCAAAGTAGCAGTGGTGGTCTTACCTTTTAAGCAAGGGGGCAGGAAAGAATGCTCCAACTGTTTAGGAAGGACTAAATAAGAGGAGGACAGTCTAGAAAGGCTGATGTTAATGCTGCAAAGCAAAGCTATGACTGACTTTAGACCTCAGACTTATGAGGAACAGATGGATCGCTCCATGGATGTGGAACAGTGGACCAGAAGTGGACTAAGGAGTCAGAATTAGCTTTTGATCCAAAGGGGGGAGTTGAGGCATATGATGACTCCCCTCCACAAAAGGTCCTCCAGGTAAGTCCCAATGGAAGGAGACCCCAGGGAAAAGCCAGAATTTAATGGAGAGAATATATATCCTATTTGACATATATCCACCTTGGGATACTTCAGAATAAGCCACAGAAAGTCTATTAGATGAGCTAGAGAAAATGGATGGATGAGTGGAGGGAATTCTGTGATGTAAAGGTTTAATGCCGCATTATTTCAATAAATAACCCAAACAACTTTATTGGCTAGCTCAATGGTTCAGAGAATTCAATCATTAAAGGACAATTTAAATAATGACTGTACTAAAACAGACTAATTTGACACAACCTGAATTTGGAGTCAGTTCTAAGTTTTATTTAATCAGATTTCACTCTCACCTTTCGATGCCCAGTTCCTTGTTGCACAATTGTTGAACAGAAACCAGCACCTTCTTCTGGACCCCCTGCCGCAGCTTGAAGTAAAACTTATCCCGGTCTTTTGGCACGGGGCTGGGGGCAACAAGAAGTGTAACAAAATGCAGTCATAACCAGATCTTTACACACACACTGTATAAAACAAAATCTACTCAGATTTAGTGAGGATTATTTCTACCTGCTTCAAGCAAAAATAATAAATAAAAAGTTTCCACTAAATATGTATATAACCCCAGGGAGGGGGCGTCTATAGAAATCAAGCAGGGCTTTATAAAGACAAATGTTGATTTCCAGAGGTCTGTATGCTTAGTGAAAAGTTCCAGGTCCCTGAAGGCAAGTACTTTATTTGTTCAGAAATGTATAGGCAAGGATTAACGGCATGGAAACGTCCCGAACAGATACCATTCAGGAAGGAAATGGGTCCTCCTTTTTCCTGATATACGTGTAGAAATTCCACAACAGACCTAAAGGATCTTATAAAGATGTTGACTGAAGCCGATCATCATTAAGAGTGAACAGAGTTCTGTAAATATATTTGTCACTCAGAGAGGAAGAGGCCATGTCTCCAAAAGCTACATGAAAAAAAATAGACCAGACATTTGGCTTAATTTCAGGTTTTCATCTGCTGAGACCTTTTTTTGTTTTTTTTTTTTGGGTAAAAATGTTTTATCATGTAGCATTGCCTATGGTACTACATTACCGTGTGGCTTCTTTTTTTATTTTCACTTTCAGTCAATTATCTGAAGCCTTTTTTTTCCCCCCAACAGTTTACAATTCTGTCTTTATTTTTTTGTATTTAAATTTTTCTAAATATTATCATAATATGTTTCATTAAAACACAGAAGAGCAAAGTGAGCAACCATGTGTTGAATCATCACACTAAACAGGATGTGGGTGTGTGTTTTGAATCAATGTGTGTCGCCATGTGTGGACCAAGTACTTGTAGTTGCCTTTGCCATCATCTTCCTTGATCTCCAGTGAGACCATGAAGGTGTAGAGATCACCGTCAGGGGGACCAGAGAGCGTTTGGTCCCGGATGTCGGCTCGCTGCGAGGAGCGCCGGAAGGCGGTGGAGAAACTGTAAAGGATGCGGCTGACCTGAACAAGGGAGGGGGAAAAAAAGTCACAAAAAAGAAAAATTGAACTACATGTTACAAACAACCTCCCTTAAAAGCAAATTGAAGCAACAATTACAGCTAAAAAAAAAAAGAGCAAAAAAAATAATGCGAACAAATTCAAATGAAAAACATCAGAGTACAATGGTTCCCCCAACTGGTCAACTATAGGTAGTGCAACTGGACCTCTGAAACAGTGTGGTTATATGTTGAAGTTATAAGGTCAAACTCTACTTTTCAGTTTGTGAAAATACACTAACTTTAAATATATTTGAATAGTCCTCTCTGTGTCAGGTGACCGCGGGTCTCTGCAGGACTTTGAGCTGCAGGACAGCATGTTTGTACATTTATTTGTTATTCAAATAAAGTTCAGAAAAAATATTGTAGAGCAACTTGCTGTCAGTCAGTCTTTCTTTCCTGCATATGAGTCAGAAGATTCCCATTTATATTGAAAATATGGTTCATAATTGATGGGGACAATGGTGAAACATGTGGGTAAAACTACAGGCTAGAGGCTGCAACACACTTTAGAAGTTAGAGGTGGAAATTATTACATTTTTTTTTGTTTTGTTTGTGGGATAACACAGCACTCAAATACTCAGCCAAAGCCAGTAAGTAATGCTTTACATTTTAGCACACTAAGGTTTTAGAATGGCTTAAAGTACCATGTGTAAACTTGGTAATGTCTGCTGCTGTAACTGTAGTAAAACAGGATTTTATAAAGCAGTGACAGAAGCTGAGAACATAAGGACTCCTCACTTAATTTTTTTAAAAGCTAAAACCTTGAGAACCAAGCACTTTATAAATATATCTATTCCTGATTCTAATGCATTCTGTCTTCTGTTGTAACAATGAAAGAGGAGGTTACAGGATAAACGGCGTCTGAAACCAGAGAGAAAGAAAATCTCTTTCTGTAAAGAAGCACTTTAAGCCAGCCACATCCTAACGCTGAAATTAAGTTAAGGAGCCTGGGGAGGATGCTTAAATTGTGCTGATTGTGTAATTCTACTCACAGCCTCTTTGATTTGACAGGAGAAAACGTGAATCTGGAAGTCCTCTGAACTTCGGTAACTCTCAGTAAAGGAGAAACAGTCACTTTCCACAGAGCCCTCCCGCCCTCGGGCGCAGAACAACACCTTGTAGATGGGGAAGGAGGCGATCTCTGTCCCTGAGGCCTGGTCGACGATTCTGAGAGGAGGGGAAGCAGAAAGGCTGGTTTACTGTCTGTGAAGCAGATAGTTTCCTTTTAATGCATGGCATTAACTTTGATGGTAGTGGTTTTCAGACTAAATGGAATTGAGTCATACACTAAAACAATCACTGCTGAACTGCTTGCTTGTTATGTGGTCAACCATCTAAATTCAGTGTTTTCACTAAAACATTGATCTAAGCTGAAGAGCCCCAATCATCCCATTTCATGATCCCCGTATTTGCAGTTTGAAAAGGCCACCAAAGTCTGAAAGGGTTAAATTACTTGTGAAAACCAATTTGGTTAAAACAGGACAAATTGTTTAGTAACTGTTAGGCTCAGAAGCCTTTTCATCATTCTAGGATTTGACTTTTCAAAAGAGCATACATCAGTTTGTAGGGTGGTTAAACATTATGCATTCAGTCACACACTGCTGACAAAGAGAATTTTCCAGATAAAATATTTTGTACTTGAACCTTGAAGTCTAACTAAAGCTTGTTGCATGAAGCAAACGGATTGTTTTCCAGAAGACTCTCACTGAAATATAAGCAGGGCTGCATAGATAGTGCGAAGTGCATTAATTATTAATAATCCTTTGAACTTTCTAAACTTTTTTTCTTTACATTACAACAACTTTCTATTATTTAATTGAGATTTTTTGCAAATTATTTTCACATAGCTCCAACTCTATCAGGCTGGAACCTAAGTGAACATGACCTTATGTTTTGTCAAAACTCATCATTGTAATGTTTAAAGTTTACCTGTGCCATTCAGATTCACATGAATCTAAACCACAGCACTGCAGCTCTGGCTGCCTGTCCAGGCTATGAAATGATACTGTTAGCTATTGTCTATTCAGTGTTATTTTCCAACAGACACATAGCACTCGTTTGTTTGCAAAAATGTAAAATTTCAGGTTGTTTTTTTTGTCTCGCTGATTTATGGCCAACTGCAGAGGGGAGTTCTTTTGGCTTCTTTTAACAATTTAAACTCTTGGAGGTTTTTACCTGAAGAAAAAATTAGATATGCAGAACTAACAGTTGCATCTAAGTGAAAAATCATCATGTCCTTCAGAGTTCACATTGATAACCTATTTCTCTCATTGCTTTTCTGTCTTGTAAGTCATGTTTATGGTGTTTAAGATTCTTTGTTCTCTAACACACCTTTAAAAGGTATGTTGAAAAAAAATGTCCTTTCATTTAACAGGTATGAATCCCCTTACACTATGATAGTCCATCACTAAAAATCCCAGTGAGCCACACTAAGGTCTGTTTGTGACAGAAAATTGGGTTAGAATATGCAACAGTGTTCCAGCTGTGTGCATGCGATTGTAAAGCACTGTTTCCTAATCTATTGCCCACATTATCTTTTAGTGCTTCCCTGTTTTCACACAATCAGTCTCCTTTATCTGACCTGACAGAACCATCTGGGCCACAGGGAACATGCAGGGTGATGGGAATCGGGATGGCACTCTCCGCTCGCAGGGTCGCCATAGCTTTCTGAGCCTCTGCTTCGTTGCGAGGGGCTTTGACCCACGTGCAACCCAGGTATGATAGCTTGTTGAATTGGACGCTGTCCTCTTCTATGACACTGGGACTGGATGGTGCTGGACATGCTTCTGTGTACAGACAAAACAAAATGTTTAGTCATACGTTTGTTAACCGAGGTCAACTTTTCCTCGAGCTGAAAAGAAAGGAACAATGTCATCTAAACAGGAAATACCACTGCACCCAAAGAGCGGGAGAAACAGAGCAAAGCTGCAAACGCAGCATAAAGAGGAGGATGGAGGGAAGGTGTGCTCGAGTGATAAAGGAAGTTCAGAGGGTCCTCTCTGAAATTACCAGCGATGTGGAACTTTCAAACATACAAACAGGAAGCAGAACAATGAGCACAGCAGCTCAGCTTCCACTCATAGCTCGCTTTTAGACTGTGGTCATGGTCGCAGTTTCCTTCTCATTCAGTCTGCAGCTGTACAGAACCGGCGCAAAATTATAGTGACAGCACTGTCAGTTCTTGTTTGAATGGTGCCAGAATAGCCACACTGCAACTTAAAATAAGTAAACTTCTTGAAAAGATCTTTGCATTTGATTTAAATCGATAAAGTCATCCGCCCTGCCAATGGAATAAGAATGTTGCACATAAAAATATGAAAAATGTATTTATTTATTCTAAGTACAGTATATTAAATTGTTTTATTTTAGTGGTCAGAATGTTCATTTATTGTTTTAATTACCTGCTTAAATGAAAGGCAAATGCATTTAAAGAAAGGTTAACTTATCTATAGATCAGATTTTGAAGTGCAATGACCCCTCATGTCCTCATATACACTAACGTGTTTTGGTGTTTCAGAAAACCAAAAACAGTTTAATAACTCATAAAACTGCTTTTAGAATGTCTTTGCAGTGCACAATTATCTATTTCGGGTTTGACCAGGTGTTATCTGAGGCAAGAGGTGTAAATATCGTCTCCATTCTGTAGAAAAAAGGAAATAGATGTTTACTGATGCTAATCAGATAGCAACTTCAACAAGCCTCTCAACGGCTAAACACACCCCAACCCAATGAAAATGGGTAGTAAAGAAATAATGTATTCCTGACAATGACCCTATGTGTAACAAAAAGAAAAGGGAAAACAACGCCCTGAGGATATAAACAAACATTTCACATTAAACACCTGCATTAAGGGGAAAGAACGCTTGTTTTCACGGGAAACTCACTGACAAGTTTTATTTATCACCCCGTTGTCTGAGTTGATAACCTTTAAGATTTTAAACTGTGAATTCTTTTGCATGTTAAAATGTTCATACAAGTTAGAAAACAGTCAGTAAAAGCAACTTAAATTGAAACAAAAAGTTAAATATTTGCACTAGTAAGTACAAATGTCTCAACATACCTCGTATTCTGGCCTTTTTTAGAGCTAAACCTTTCCTTCTCAGGAACATTGCTAACCATTTGCTGAATGATAGTATGTGCATCTGTCCCCCAGTGTGACACATTGCACCACAAGCCTTTTCATTTCACCTGAAATCATCCAAAAATATAGTCTTGATGCAGGACTTCCTCTTATCTGAAGTCATGTATCACATCTGCTTTTTGTTGTGGTAAACTTTATGAAGCCCTTTTTTTGTCTTTTTTTTTTTATAAGGTTTAAAAAGGAATTAAATTGTTCGAGGGTCGGCCTGAGATTCTCTGAGCGTGATAACACTGAATAAAAGTACATGTTTCATTTTAACAATTTAAAATTCATAGCTAAAAGTTTAAACCCTGGGGTCTCCTCCCATTGGGACAAACAAACACTAAAAGTGTTTATTTGCATGTTTATAACACTTAAGTGTCTTAGGATATCAAAGAAATGTAGATATTAGTCAAAGAAAACGCAGGTAACCAGAAAATGCAGTTTTTAAATGAAGGTTTTTGTCATTAAGGGAGAAAGAAAATTGAAACATGGCCCTGTGTGGAAAAAAAAAAGACCTCCCCCTCTTGTTAAAACATTTCTAAGATGTGGTTTATCACACCTTAGTTTACTTTCTTGGTCACACCGAGACCTTATCTCTACCATGCCTGTTCTCATTTAAGAAATCACTCAAATAGGAGCCTTACTTAACAGGATTATTACACAAGGTATTAAATGGGTATTTACATGAAAAGGTATTTATATATGCACTGGGTATTAAATATAAAAAACAGGTTATTGAACAGGGTATTAGAAAGTGCATCAGTTGGATTCATATGCCGGCAAAAATACAAAAGGCATCATCGGCAAATGTTACAGAAATCGAACCTGTATGAACAGGAACTTAACTGATTATATCAGACAACGATGGGAAAAATTACACCAAAGCAGAGATCGAGGCTGGGTGGTTTACAGTCCGCTTGCTGGAGGGGGTGCGGTGTGGTCTCAGCAGGTTACTTCCATGTATTTTGGGATTGTTCGGAGTTGAGGACCTTCTGGGAGGACGTTAACCGACTAATCTGTGAAATTGTGGGTATTTCCTTGGTTTTGTCATTTCCTGCTATGTACCTCGGAATACTTCCTGGGGGACTTAATAATGAGGATATATACTTGTTGAAGATATTTATGGTTGCAAGCAAGAAAGCGATTACTAAATGTTGGCTCCAGCCCAGACCCCCTAACCTGAAGCTTCTAATAAATATTATACAAATGATCCATGATATGGAAATATTGACTTTTACAATACGACTCAAGAAGGAGAAAGGAGAGAGACTTTGGGAAAGATGGGATTATTTTATTGCCAAAGGTGTGTAACAGTTAACTTGTGTGAATTCACAGTACTTGGACAGACACCTGTTTTTTTTTTTTCTATCTATGTTAGAAGAAGATATACAATGTGATATCTAAAGAACTGTACTGCT